AAAAGCCCAATGGATTATAGATAATTGAATGCTGAAGCAGAGTTCTGACGATTACATAACACATATCGATAAATATGTAAGTGACTGTAGTATCGTTGTAATCAATTATCTAATTGTAAATTATGAATCCAGTTAACATGCAATGTCTCGACATTTATAAAAACGGTTGATAATACTAGTGTAACACACACATGAACATCATACAATTTCGAACAAAAAAACACTGACATAAAACGAAATTCAACAACAAATCAATACCAAGTCATGACAGTAGTGATGAAATTGGGCGGAAAAACAAACTATAATTGTTTGTGTGGTGTTTTGAAACGAAATTTCATTTTATAAACGAGCTCATTATGATAATAGCTAATAACAACTGTAACAATATGTTTTCTTTCATCATAGGCTAAATAAAGTAACTATGTGATAGGACGCAAAGGATGGGATTTAATTGATTTTGTTTAGCGTAGTCCACGTTACAATGACAAATATATACATAAATGTGAATATATCAACTGTTTGTGTGAAAAATACTTTCAATGTCCTTTTTTGGGTCCTACAGTTTTGTAGTAAAGTATAATGCTTATGTTATAATGAATAATTAAAATTGCAATGATCAATCATGCAGTTAAATGGACCTATTAAAATATCTTGAAAACAAAAAAACAGCTGAGTTTAAAACATACTGTATAAATTTGTTAAACATTATGCAACTCAATGGTTTATCAATAAGTTAGTTTCATGACTCGATCAGTTGTGAGACTTGGTCTCGGCGGTGCCCACTGTTGAAAATAATGAAACAGATGTCCACTGCTTACTCGTTTTCGATAGCTGTCCAGTCCGCGACGCAAACCAAAACATAAGCGATCTCCATAAAATGATGATAACTACACAAACCGAACAGTTGAGACTTTGAACCTTCATTGATTGAAATCGGTGAGATGTGTATAACATATATTAAATTACTATCTACTCAAATAGTATAATATAGGCTGATGTAGGAGTAGGTTGAAATAAACTTAGAGGCGGTCAAACAAAGAAGTATGCGTTTATTCATGATATCAGAAACTAATGGTAGGTGAAAAATATCTGACTAGGTACAGGTAATTATCATGATCAATGATTTGAGACATTGTTAAAGGCCGGTTGGAGTGCCGCAAACCTATTCTCTCTTTGTATCTTACTAGGCCCTCAGTTTCGAAATTATTGTATACTTTTTATTTTGTGAATTCATTATCTTTTGTCCGATCATATCTAAACTTCCCGATTATGATTAATACTTCTATAACTCTGGGATTTATCTTGATAATCTCCCCCCCTGATGTCATGATATGGCGATTTTTCCCGATAAATATTGTTTATGAATGATTAATTGTAAAATTGAAAAGGGGTTCAAATTAGTTAAAACAAGACAGTATTGGTCTGTGAAAACTTCCTGGTATAAGTTACGATGTTACAGTCATTATCTATGTTTCGAAACTTCATGTAACATAGCTAGGAATCAATCACTTAGTATAGTAAATGTATTTATTATTTATATTTCTCTAAATCATGAATTTTAATTTCATTTTTCAAGACGTATAAACATTCTTTACTATGTAAATTATTTTTCTTGATAGTTTCCACATTTAATATAAACAATAAACATGGTGACTTTCTATTTTGAAAAAAACAACAAACAGTTCATTTAAAAACTACCTAATTCAGCTAAATATATAGTCACATGATAAAATTCAATGATATTTAGATCCCCCTAAATAAATTAAGTCATACATACATTGAATATAGGCTAACAATGCTACTCAGTCATTTAAACTTTTGTAGGCGAAAGGAAAACAATGAATTTAGATTAGTTGTTTTGTTTTGTTTTGTTTTTAATGAACAGAACATTAATGTTTACATATCCAAACTTACTAACATTAAACATATCATTTTAAATCGTAGATAAACTAATGTTGACCAATGAGACGACAGTTATGAAGTCATTTCTTGCCTACAAGATTTATTCAGATGGATCTAAACTACCGAGTATACGCTTGCTCATTTAAATAAAACAAGACCTTTTTTTAAAAAAATTTTCATGAGGAACTGAACAAAATTTATGGTAAGTCTAACTTTAATATACAAGAAAATACTTTATGAAAACTCTTCTAAAACTAAACAATAATTATTAAAAGACTAGTTTATGAGAAAGATACATGGAAAAGGACTTATCTAAATTTCAATAGCTTTTGTCCAATCAGTTACAAAAAGACACCTGTCAAAACAGTTTCATAGAACAGAAAGAATATGTACTGCCGATACAATAGAAGAGGAAGTTATGGATGTTAAAAAGTATTTAAGGAATAACGGATACCCACTGAAAGTTATTGAGAAATATGGAAAACGTGAAGATAAAAAAAACCCCTAAAGAAACTACTGTAAATAAAAAACCTATTTTTATTCAACTCAAATCCAAAGGTGATAATGTCACAGGATCAATCAATATGAGACTAAAAACTGCATTTTTTGATACACATAGTTCCCTTTATTATTTTAAAGAGAACAAGAACAAAGATTGGTGCAGAATAATATGAATTCATTTTATTTCGTTAGGTTCTCATCAGGTGCTTACAATCTAAAATATTTGAAAATCAGGGTTATTACATATATTGACGTACTTACACATAAGAGGGTGCCATCGCGAGAAATCTCCTTGACGCAGGACACGAAATCGATACACTGAAGTCGTTCAAGCTGATTAACAAACAATTAAACTCAAACCTTTTGAAATTTGCAGAAGCGATAGCAATCAAACGTCTAAAACCAGATCTATGTTTACAAAAAGAGGCAGTGATAAATCTTTCTTTGTCCTGGTAACATAAACCCCTCCTTTTTATTTATTTATTCATTACATCATTCATAACTGACTGATTTCAATTCATAGTTTTCTCTATTACCATTAATATATTTTCAGTTACTTCACTATATAATCGTTTAATGTGTTTTTTAATTTCATGAGTTCTAATCACAATTTCAGTGTTCTGGAACCTTCCCTCTCAAACTTTATTTATTCGAGACAAAATTTTATGACCTCATTGACTCTATCGGAATCTTCGCTACATCATGATACATATTTTCATCCTTAATCACCCTCTTATGTATAAAAGTATGTCAATATGTGTAATAACGTTGATTTTCAAATATTTTAGGTTGTAAGGAGCTGATGAGAACCTAACGAAATAAAATGAATTCATATTATTCTGCACCAATCTTTGTTCTTGTTCTCTTTAAAATAATAAAGGAAACTATGTGTATAAAAGATTAGTATTTGAACGAAGAATATTCTTTTCGATAAATTCATTTCAGGTACTACAATTATATATCCAAATTAAGGGCAAAGTAAATCGTTTAAAGCATGTGAATTTAGGATCGTTAAACAAAATATAATGCACAGGAAAATATTTTATGAAAACTCATCTAAAACTAAACAATAACTATGTCACATTATCACTATCTAATTATTTGTGCAAAACAATGAAAAATTAAGTTTTACTTGATCTCTTATGAAATGAAGATAAATTTCTATAAATACAATTGTTACATGTACTTTATTATGAAAGCAATAGATTGATTGTTGTTGATACTTGTAACGAAAAGATAAATATTAATATTTTCTTTTAGAGAATGATTGATTGACTAGATCACAATCTATCCATTTTTATTTAATTTAAATACAGACACGGTTCATGCCATAACAAATTGAATTTTTTTGGAAATACAATTTTCTTTTGGATCCATTGAAAAACTGTTCAATAAAGTTTGAAATGGGTTTCTCGTTTTTTCCTAAATTTAAAACGATGATTCAGAACTAGTCTGCATCACTGTCTAATTTGATTATATGGAGTGAATTTGGTAAGAAATATTGACCACTTCATGTATATCAGAGCTTCGAATCAGTCCTATTAGATCGGTAGCTTACGAATAAATGACACGTTTATAAAATGACCCCTTAAATATCAGTTTGCCAATTAATAGTTGAGCATAATATAAAAAATTATGCTCTTGATAGCTGGACACTGTCAGTGTGACGTGTAGGAATCTAGGTGACATTTGTGCCAAGTCGTACGATGACTATGATTAACTGACTAATCAGAACATTTTAAAGGAAACCCTTTTTGCTGATTTACGAGTACGCAAGAAAAAGTATATTCTCGATATGATATCGCTAACTAAAAGTGCTATATTTAAACGTTTATTAGGTAATTTTAATTTTACCCATCAACTAATTTAAAGTTATTTTAGTAGTTGAGATCATGAGTTAATTGAAGCTTAACCACCAGGTTTTCCATTGTGGTCTAGCTTCGATTGACTCATGATTTGAACTATTAAAATTACTATAATATCCACAAAACCCCTTCTGATATTAAAGTTATTTGATGAAAATTTTATAGACAAGGTTTTAGGTGGGTAGGTCAAGGGAATATTGGATTGTTGATATCAGTGAGTAGAATCCTAATGGATACATGAACCAAATGTTATGACTTGTTCGAGTGATAACTGCTCATGAAACTGTATTATTGATGTAAGGCCCCGATTGAGTCAGTCATCTACAGATTAGAACCAGGCACATATATGCATCCGTTCAAGTTGCTATATCTTATTAGAACAACAAGATCAATACCAAACTCATATAAGCAGTTACTTCAACGGTAGCAAAAAAACAATTCATATAAGAGTATTGTTATAAGTGTGACGGCAGCAGATTAGAGGGTAGCGAATTATTGATCGGACCAAAGACGCGCAAACACGTAGAACGACCTAGGGTTCTGATTGGCCCCGCTTCCCTGTCTAGCCCAGCCAGTTAAGTTCAGAACGCAAGTCTCAGCCTCGGATATACGAATCATTATATTTCAAACACACTGTTTATATACTAATCAAGCAGACCACATCGTACCATAAAATAGAAAATAACATTGTACAATATTGACCAGTAGGAAAATGACACGTGAAATAAGCACTGACCAATAAGAAAATAATACCACCTCCAAGTCCAGGAATAGCATTAGACTTAATAGAATAATTTTGGGATATTTTCTTGAATATCCAAACACCTCCTTTTTTTGGAGATCCGGAGTTGATAACCGGATTTTAAATTTTTTTTCGCGTCTATCCTCCCCCGCGAAACAATGTTGGGTCTTCATAAGCCCAAATTACAATTAATTTGATTGCATTTAAGACATATTGGACGGGGAATTCAGTAAAATCGACCAGATAATGAGGATAAACACCATTCAATTCGAAATCATCCGAGTTTAAATCTTCTGAGATACTGTTATCAAATTTATGGGGAGCATCACTAGTAGATAATGGATCATTATGATAATCCTCGTCCAACAAAACCGTACCAGGCTCTTGATTATTATTCGATGCTTGAGACACATTTCCTGGCAAAACAATGGGACCTTTTCGTGAGCTGGATATGCTACTGTCTGTACATGCTGTTTCGGGGATGATGGAGTTTGACTCCATTACCGGGCATGTTTCTGGAATGGAAAGTACTGGACCACTGGGCGCATCATGGATGACTGTTTCGTTTGAAGTATAGTTTATCGAGGATTCATGAAGGCTGCTGTCATTTTCCAGCTCACTGTGTAATTGAGATATCAATCCATCCACTTCCGTCGCATCTTCATAGCATGACTGATTTAGCAGCTGCGTGCGGAATTTGACTAATAACTCCAAATGTCGTTCAAAGAGCAGCTGTAATCGATCGAAGGGAGTGTCATTTTTTTCTTTGGGTCAGCACCGTAAATGGAAATTACTGTATGAATAATGACCAATGTCGTTCAAGGACACTGATGACAATCAGAACCCTAGGTCGTTCTACGTGTTTGCGCGACTTTGGTCCGATCAATAATTCGCTGTCCTCTAATCAGCAGCATTCTCATAGTTATAACAATTGGCGACGGGGTGAAGAAAAGATACAATCCAAAGTCATTCTGTAATTGGACGAAATCCAGTCTAATTATTCAACCAGTCAGTATCCAGATTGTCCAGGCATACGTAACACGATGAAGATTAACAACCTCATCAACTGATTTACCATCATTACCTAATACCCTGCGTCTAACCTCACTATTACTTACTCGGTGATCCCAGCAGACGCCAGCAATATCTCTAAGACATCTCTGGTCAAATACTAGTAGCTCACGAGTGTCTTCTACTCTTAGTGGCCATGTTCCGCAGCCGTAAATTGAAACAGAACGGACTGCCGCGCAGTATACTCGTCCTTTTATTGATAGACAGATATCTCGCCTTCGCCATAGGTGACGTAAGTTGGCAAAAGCCAAACGAGCTTTACGAATCCGTGCAGAGATTTCGTCAGACACAAACCGATTTAGGCTGGTCAGACTTCCAAGATAAGTGAAGTTGTTGACGCGTTCGACTACTTCATTCCCTATTCTTAGTTCACGTGTTGATGCAGGCCATCAACAACGTTAACAGTTAATTAAATAACAAGCATAGGAAATATAAGCAAAAGTTTACAGTAATCTATCTTCAACACAGTACTTTTATCTTTTCGCTATAAACATGTAAAACGATCCACATTAGCAAGTTTTTAAATTTCTACCGTTGATATTCAAAATTGGTATTGTTCAATTTCTGTTGCAATACATTCATTCTGAGCAGACTGCTTTGATATAATTTTTTAGTTAGGGATTTTAATGTATTCAGACTACGAGTACTAGTGGTCAGTCAGCCAGCAATAACTTAGAATGCAGGACCAGCGTTTCATTCTATTTTTGAATAATATGGATTTAATTTAACGTTTCTCAACTAATAACTTCATAACCATTGGACAGCTTCATGGCTATCCAGATTCATTAACCTAGTTATGATGCGAAGCCATGACCCGTGGAGTATATTGTGTCAGTAGAGCGAAGCACATACCCACTGATAGCATTGGCTAATAGTCGCAATAAATGGTTAGTCGATTGACAGAAGCTGAAAATATAATATTGTATTTCAACTCAATAGTGATAGTCGTAACAATACCTGTGAATCTAGAATCCATTTTGACGAAGAGAGTCTCAAATCACGTACCAAGTCCTTTCAGAATTTCAATGATTTTCTACCTTGGCAATGGAAGATATCAAATATTGAAAGATTTTTATTTAGTTAAATTCTCTTTTATTGTTCTTAGAAAGAGGTTGATGAAAGATGAATTATGAGCAGAGATGGATGGTGGTTAGCAGTGGAATCCAGGACGCGTATCTCGTCCTACTTAGGACTCTTCAGCCAGATGTACCTGAATGAGAGTTGATTTTCACGCAGGGACTTAAACTCAGTGCCATTCACTTCAAACGTCATCATGTTGTTAAGTTAGAACGAAACGCTCATCCTAAACTCCATTGCTAGCCACCATTCACCTCTGCTTATAATGCTTGTGACTTAAGGGAATATAGAGGCAATCAGCACAGAATGTACATATGCAAAAATACAGACTGATCAGTTACAGTCCCAAACATCAATGAGAAGATTCAAACAACCAATACAAATGAAAATTTATTTATGCTTTAAATTTGGAAGAATTTTTTTTCAAAATCAGATAGATATGTTGATGTGCCGATGGGGATTAAATGTACAATCAATAATCATTGAGAAATGTAGGCTTGAAGATTCTAAAAATCCAGCTATCAGACATTAAGAACGTTATAAATTCGAATTTAAAGATTTTACTTTCCGCCTTCTAGCAATCGTACAATTATATAAGATCAAGGTTATCCGGTTGTCCGCGTTTAGACGAAATGATTTTTTTTCCAGTCTTTTCACAAAAAATTGTACATAAAAAAATACAGAATAATCTTCTTTGAAAAGTAGACCTTTAATTGAAATGATAAGATGACATAATTACAGTTAGAGAAATGAATGTTTATAAGTTGGGAAACTGGATCATGCAGAATTTATAGAGGACTTTAAAATAAGTTTAAAAATATAATACAACAGATGAGAATAAGTTCGCATAAATGAAATATGAATGATAGCTGTTGTAATCACAATTGATTGGTCACTGGGTGGTGATCAATGTCATGTGTGTCAAGTCCTTATTAGTGCAGATCGAATGCTATCGACCATGTTGCACTGTGACCATCAGTCTAGGTGACTCGACACTGCGTGCGCTATGTTGAGATTAGATGGGGATTAGAGGTATCTGTTGTTATTACTATCCCCGCATGGTTAAAACTTCATGAAATTGAGAGAAGCATGAGCTTAAGATCTTCCTACTAATTACGAATTTAATTGCTTAAGTCAATGAGTGACGACTTTAAGAAGTGTTAACCTAAATATTTTTAATTATTTAACAGGCGTATACCAGATGCAAGTGGAATGAAAAAGAATACACTCGATTCAAATGAACCATTTTTCCTTGTATTTTACATGAAAACGTTTTTAACTGAATATTGAGAACTATTCTAACTTGCATAAACCGATAGTTTCGAAAGTGATACATGACTATGGGACAGGTATAATGCAAAATTTATATTACTTTATAATCTTTTGGGGAAAATTTTATTTTGTTAGGAATATAGTGCACTATCATCAAAAAGATGATAAACAACAAGTGAATAGGTTATTGCTTACAGTTAAAATCCATTTTCATGCATGTTAACACTTCTCAACTGATAGTGGGAAGATTTCATGGTGTATTGAACAAAATAGAACAAAAAGAAGACTGAAGTGAATTGGAAATTATTAAATTCTCCGAGAACTAAAGCACTAATTATTAAGTAGACTTCGGAAAATATAATCACGACTGAAACTGAAGCCTATTGATAAAGATCTAATTATGAAATAATACATATGAAGAACATTACACTTACAGAACACTCTTGATGACCAGTAAAATCAGTCACACTTTCTAGTTATTGATAATTAATCACAATCTTTTCTGGTATACATCACGAACCAATAAACACCAGGAAGCACTGAATACATGTTTTGTCAATCTTGTTGCATGTGAACAAGGTAACCACTAATGGCATTAGAAGATAGTTGCATCATATCAAGAAGTAATTGAAATGAGAAATGTAAACCGTAGTACGGCGACTCAGTAATCTAAAGATCTGTAAGTTATATATTCGATTCCAAGTGGGGTTGTGGATGTACATAGCTAAGACATCGAGTGTTACACTGAGACGGATATCTTATGCCTCCCAGTTCTTAATATTTGTCTAACGAAAATCAGTTCGTGATGCAAAATGTAAAAATTTAACAAAATTTTAATAGTGATAATGATCACACTTTATTGATCTAATCGGCAATGCGGTCACGGTAAACAAAATAACTCAACATTTTTACACTATATGTGACGCTCGTAAGGCTAATCATAAGCAGAGAATAGATTGTGAGAATTAAGCTTTATGCACTGTGATCATCACTGAAGAAACGAATCAACACAGCATACAACATATCCCAATCATGAATATTACCACTGGAGTATTAATGATTATTATTTATTATTTCTATAGTAATACAAAGGTGAAATATTAAACAATGAATATAAAAATGTGAAAACATTTCTATCTTAAAAAATCAATTCAAACCAATATTCAACAGACAACTAACTTACCCGATGGATTAAACTTTGACGAAATTTAGTCAAATCACTTTCAGACACAGATTGTTCACCTAATACATCACGAATATTATTCACAGCCAGTAGAATGAAATCCTGTTGTTTTTTTTCATATACACACACGAGAAAGAAGTAGATTTTAATTTCAAAGAAGAAACAAAAAAGGTTTCTGTAAATCACATAAATTACAATCATATGACTTCAGAAAAAAAAGAAATCTTTTTTGGCTAAATTTTCTTTAAAAGGAAATCACATTAAACACATACAATCATCACTGAAAATACAATTAGTAAACATTTATAACAAAAACACAATGTTAGTGTCTACGTTCGTATTTTCCAGGAAGACGATTATTTTGTGAAGTTTTTTAATCTACATTGATGATTTTTTTTAACATGAAGAACACTGAAGAACAACAGTTGAAAACCAGGAAGAACAATATTAAATTGTTGCTTTGTCTTAAATTAGCAGCACATCATGACGCAACATCTAGTATACAAAATCTTAATTCACTGAATAAAGCCACATAATCCAAAGCTATGAAGAAAGTGGAACTATTTTACGTACGAGTAATGAGTACTGAAACATTTGATTTAAAGCGAAACCTAAATTCACAAATCCAGTGATTTGGATGATAATAATCATACTAAACAAGTGATACAATGCAATCAATGTACGCAGTTATGTATAAAACATTAATTCCAGTCTATTGGTCAGTTAGTAAACACTTCATTTGTGAATAAATGAAGACAGGGCGGGAACAAACTACAATTTCATCAGTAATGACGAAAGTTCGTTATAGATTTCATAAACCTGACAGACAAAATTTCGATTATTACCATGAGCTAAGCGAACAGCTAAGAAACTATGAGTATTTATAAATCAGTAAAGCCATTTAATTCTATTACAAATAGATAAACACCAGCAAAATACAAAGTTTGGTATTATTTCGAACAAGTTTGTTTTATTCCTATTAATTTACAGTTACTTTCTATCTACGTCACTCTTTTGTCAAAAAAGTATGTGGGTAGTTATCACATACCAGTTGTCAATACCGTGGAAGGGCACTTTTTCTTGAAGTATCCGAAAAGCTAACTAGGTTAGTAGTGACCGTGGTGACGTGTGACAGTGACCATGGAGCCGTAGGGACAAGCACTCCAAGCCAATCTCACATTCGACGTTCTTTCAGGCAGGTCTTGGTGTAGCGGCTCTGTGCTTTAAGGATTTTACCGCTCTGTCAGAAAAGAAACAATTAGTGGTACTGTGGTGTATGCTTCTTATGCTGATAGATATAAGTAGCATGTAGTAACAATCGGAAGTGGAATGCCTACCAGCAGAAAACTGAAATGAAGAAAACAGGAAGTTTTCGTTCACTACAGTACGATATAGTCATAGGACCTTAGGTATTTATGTCACAAAGTTGCGTGTATAAATTGATGTACCTTATAACTCTATGTTGATTGCGATAGACTTGCTTGGGAATTGAGTTTTATAAATTGGATATTTATCTAAAATCGGTTCGTTTTGAGGAAGAAATACTTAAAATATCCTTCTTCTAAATAACAATTTACTTCATCAGACAAAACTATAGCTAACAAAAACATTAAACTTATCTGTTTGGCTGCTGAAATAACTAGAAAGGGGCTTTAAACACCATACGTAGCATTTACCTCTGTCACTAGGCAATTGCTTTCTACATACAACTGTATGACTTAAAATAGGTTACCAGAAGAAGCTAATAGGTCTCATCGTTGTTACTCACATCCATTATATATATATATATATATATATATATATATATATATATATCAGACCGTAGCTAATATCTTGACGAGTTGGTAGAGCTTGTCTGTCGAAATAAACCAAGCGACTTATATTGACATGTTCCATTCCAGCTTCGGTCTGGGCACCCGGGCAGTATCACAGCCCACACATAAAAATATGGTGTGGCGCATATATATTTGGTGCCCTCTTGTACCAATATTTATGTGTTCAAATAAAATAAATATAAATAACATGTTCCATTAGGTCTACCGAAACTACGTTTTAAACTACGTGCTTGAGCTTTTAATGTTCGGACATTGTGTCAGACGGGAAAAGACTGCTTTAGCTAGAACTCTAGGATCTCGCGCTATCGGCGTATGCTGCATCGCCGAAACGCACACACAGTATCCAAGTACAGTCATTCCTATAACAATATAAAGAACCACCACAATTTACCCTTCAAGTATATGGAGACTTTAGTGCTACTCCCCGTGGTCTCGCTGATGTAGGTATAGCGTTAAGTCCTAAAGCGGAACAGGTTCTGTTAGACCGGATTCTAATAGACAGTTTGTGCGCTGGTCGACTAAACAGGATAGTAAAAGATCAAAAAGGTAGAGACACACGCCGTTGCCCATTCGTTGTCTTTGCATGAATTTCCACTTATTGCAGCTCGGATGAAGCTAAACATGAGGTTTCAGAAAGCTATTTAATCTTCAATGCTAAACACTGATAATAATGACAGGCGATTTTCTTGCCTAAGTAGGTAGACCAAATCAAACCAAGAGGCACTTATGGAGATCTTAGTTTTGCGGCACAGCGAACTAAGCTCAAATAACCGACTATTTCTGGCACACACCGACGTTAAACATAAGGAGAAATATCGTCTGACGTGGTGACCACCATAATTGACTCAAACCGACCACATTGTCATTAGCCATCGTTGAAGGGGATCGGTTGAAGACTATCTGTTGAGTCGAATTTCCGAGAACTGCAACGGAGCTTTCAGAGGCCCTAAACGAGCCGAAGAGTCCTAGCCAATCAGAGTATGATGGAGCTTTCTAGAATATCAACGTGGCGTGCCAGTATTGGTCAGTAGCATAATATGTCTTTTAGCGGATTGGCAAAAATATGATGTTAACTTAACAAATGTTAACATCTATAAATACCCGTGTTTTTCTGTACAAAAATGAACCTTTGGAGTAAAGTGTTTTTCGCTTACTTTACACCTTTTCTCTCGAGTTCAGGTCGCTGCGTAGTTCTAGCTTGCGGGTTACCAGAATAGCTTAGGAACAGAATAAAGCGTTCAAATTAACAAGACTTATAGCTGTCCCACATTCTAGAGCACGTGTTTATGCCCGGATCATGCTCTAGTTCGAGCACGTATTTGTCTGCATTTTACTGGTCGTGTGTCTTGAGAGTAGAGTGCTAGGTAACGATGGGGTAGTAAATCTTCATCAACTGAGCTGGTTGGGACAAGTGTTAAGTGTCCTCACCCACCGCCAACATCGACGGGTAATGTTTTCTGGAGCAGAAGGCAGAGGCAAAACTAAATCATGGCATTAATACATGAAGTCACTGACAGTTGGATTTAGACATAGGTGCTAAATACCTGGTTGAAGTCTGCGTGATTATCATAATCAAGGGTTAGAGACTTTGAATTATATGGGTCTAAACCGTTTGCAATAGCGAAGGTCGATTCATTCTTTGTCTTCGCCCAAATTCTGAAATTATCAATTTCTCATAACATTTTTTTATTTCACTAAGTTATATTCACTTCTCGAGTCATAACTTCGATGCTTAATCTACTACCATTGATATTGTTACTACTTCTACTATTGTGAGATTCGGTCTAGCAACTTCATCTCTCTGTGCTAATGAGGTATGACAACTTGAACCAATGTACATACGTTCAGGCTCTGTGTTGTGACTGATTGATATATGTAAACTGAAAAGTAGTCTAACAAATCAGTCAGTCAGTTAGAACAAGTCTAACGAACAATTAAAAAAACGGCACGTGTAAATGGATGAATGACTTAATGTAAACCGTTGATAGATACATTTGTAACGATTGAATAGTAGTTTTTTGTTTAAATATTAACCCATATAGTATTCTATTCAATATCAAATTACAAAGAACCAAAAATATGTTTCTAGACTAATTATGACGCAAACTCCAAATATATTTCATTCTTTGTTCTTCACTTAGAATATACTTTTTTTCGGGTATTACTGTTGAGTAAGCCCTTTATAAAATGATGGATGCTTTTTCGTTGTGTTCTCTGAGCTTAGTGAAACTTTCATTGTTGCTCTCGGCAACATAATCATTTTACTTCTATGTGAAGAAAAAGCTGATGTTGTCCAAATCAACGAGAGCTTTACAACTAAGCAACTGATCTTAGAAAACACACAAAGTTAACAAAACACATTTCATTGGAATCGTAATTCACAACAATACTTATCTAGTTTAACGCTGAGACAGTTGTCCATATATTTCCAATAATATTTATAATCTAATAATAACGGAACTATATATATATATATATATATATGATATACTTACATCCATATACTTTTTCATAAGCTGATCAAAGTCACGATTAACGAATGGTTGTAAGAATTTTCTTAATAAACGTAAAGTTAACTTTGCATCTAAAATTAGTCCAGTATGTCTAAAGTAGAAGAAAAGCGAAAAAATAAAGACAAATGAGCAAAGGAAGTGGAAAAATGAAAGTGAGCAACTAATACTAGGAATAAGATATATTGATTTATCTTATATCCAACTTACACACCAACATGTTTACAAATATTTTCATCATTCATTTTACTACTATTTCAACAGTTTAATATATATAACATTGTGTCGATTATATATTATATAATATGACAATTTGAGCTGATGTATATTTGTAGCAGGCTCCAAGGAGACGATAACTGGATGATATAAGTGTTATTGAGATCTTATATCTTCAAATGTAACCCTGTAGTGAAATAGATTTTCGTTAACATTTTACTTCGCACACACGTGCTATGATTTCTTTGTATGTGGACAGAATACAGGCACAGATGAGGACAGAAGCCAACCCCCTTACATACTAAGTAAAAAACCATGATAACTACACTCTACAATACGTAACCATGTCAAGAGAGCAGATAGGTGGGAGTTTGCAAGCGAGATATTAAATGTTTGTTTGGAAAAATCCGTCATTAGATGGCTTCAGTGTTTGATTACACACCAATCAGATGACTTTTCAATTTACTTATTAAAATAATCGATTGAGTGAACAAAAATAACCGAAGTATACGATTTCCAAAATAACTGAACAAACTGATAATAAAGACAATAATAACTTGATTTGCTCAATGACCTCGTCGACAACGTCATAATGTTAAAAGCAGTAAGGTTGGAAGATTAAACTTTCGAGCAATACTTCTCCGCTTCAAAACCCAATATGTAGCACTTGAACCGACATTTTGATATGACCAAGAATAGAAAATAACAATATTGTGAAGGCAGAAAATTAGAAAAAATTATGCAGCAAAAATAATCATAATAATGCAAAGAAATAAACTGTTACAAGGAACAAATAGTCTAAGAGTAAGAAAATATATTTGAAGGGAATATTTTTCTTTCTAAAAGCAGATTTAACTAGTTACCATGAGAGACTGAAAAATAAAACAAAATTTCCGCCGACTTCGAGAGTTGGGGGTTTTTTCGATAAAAGTTTCAGGCCACTAAATCATATGAACCTTGAAAATTAACACAAAAGTTGATATTTACCACTCACCATATGTAAATTTGACATAACTTTATTTCACAATGTGTCATTAATTAACAATCCTTAAGTCTCTTTGATATGCAGTTTTCAGAGTGCAGCTAAGGGACACATGATACGTAGTTTTTAATGGCCAGATAACCCAACACCTAATACCTCAGTTTTACTTAAGTGTTGATATACAGTGCTGATATAATTTTTCATATCCATAATTTCATATGAATTTTTATTCGCACACACACAAGCTTTTATTTTATTATTTACACTACATAATCTAGTATTATAACCTTTTTGTTAAATCATCATGCTTATTTATAGGTCGCTACGGTATATATATATGATTGTAAAGCGTAATAACCGGTTCACTGAAAGATGTCTTCCCTGAACTTCGTGTTTTAATAATATACAAGGCTCTGATACAGTAACCGAGTCATGCTGAATAAGTCCCTTAACTATTTTCATACCTTGATCATCAATACTTTAACTAGTACTTTTTAGATGAAACCAGTCGTAAGAAATAATGACTTCTACAGACTAAAATGAATTATCTGTTTTCCAGTGAAATAGCGTGGGTGTAATACGATCACATTATAGCTTTAGAATGGTTCGCGTAGCAAATGAAACCTGTCTCAAGGTCAATCATGCTTTTTTCACTGACATAGTCATGGCTGTTATGCTTACCTAGATAGAAAACAAGCTAACAAACATTGGATAAAAATGTAGTAAGAATAGTATAAGAATACAAATATGCGTTAATTTGTCTACGTGTGTACATATCTACATTGCGTAGGCGTGGAGTCCTAAAATCAGTGTAAAAATGTAATCTGTAAAAACGTACATCTCATGCAAATAGAAAATAACAGGCAAACAAAACGGTCAACAAGCATACTTTAGAAAATGGTGATTGAAATCATACCACTACTAGACTAATATAATAATCTAGGCTAAAAATAAATCTAGCTGAAATCGAGTTTCCAAATTGTTTAAACTAGGCCATTTTAACGTTGGTGATTGATACTCATGACGAAGGAAAGTAGTGTATATTGGCATTTACGCGTGTATTGGTAGTACGAATGGCTAGACAGTCAGATAACCGATTATTTAGTCAATGCTATGTGATTAAACATACATGTGCTGTGATGATGTCAAGTTCTTTTGGCTTCATATATAATAATCATTACCACATGATACGGATAATATCAAATCCAATATAGACTATAAAACAAAACTATATCAACCAGAATGGATGGTATATATATAATGTGTCGTGAAGATAGGAAACATATACAACAAAATGAACGTAACATTAATCTTTGACATGATACAGATGTTTCCCCAATGTAATATTACAACTGTCTTTAAAGCTTGAAAGTGTGACAATAATACACAGAGAAAAAAAACGAATTTTCTTTAGATTGTGTATCTTTTTCTATTTTTGGTATTATCAGGATTTTATTACAGTGGCGAATTTGGGAACCCACACACCGGAACAACATAAAACAGAAGACAATATTTATTAGGAAATCATCGACCCTCACTTGATTAAATGGTTACTGATCATTCGTAAATTTCATGGCCATGGTTGTTGAAATTCCCAAGTGAATATTAGTCGGACAGTAGTCATAACCACAGTAAGTAAGAGTTGAGATAGATACATGTGGGGATCAGTCTATGTCGCCAAATCAAATTAGCATAGCCAGTTTGAAATTAACCAAATGAATAGAAAATAAGTTGAAATAGTCGTTAAAAAAAGACTAGACGTAAAGAATATGAACCAAAAAATGGAATGAATTGGTTGAATAAAAAATATATAAAATAATATAAAAACCCAATGTCTTGAGGAATACACTGGATAAATCCATCTCTATTATTGCCAAAGATTTTGAGCCATTCCATCCGAGATCTTCAACCACTGATCGCGACTACTGCGTGGACAGTACCACCCTCTGAACTAAGTACACTGATATATCAGCACGACTAAAACCAACAGTTTATGACTTTATGACATGATGCCATGTTTCAGCCTAGCTCTCTTAACTTACCCTTAAATCAGTCAATAATTTAATTAATAGCCTACAATAGGTGCATGCGTAAATTGTAAAAATGATTTGCAGACTATACAAATAACTAGTTCATTGTCTTATAATCGTTGAATTTCTTTTCGGATATGTGGCGTCTGATAACGTTGGTATCCGCAATGTCCTCTTACATAATAACCCAAAAAGCAAAAACAAATGGGTACAGTTATATGGTAGGTTTAAATCCAGTTTAACAGTCGGATTTTAATTTACTGGAGAGTCAGTCAGTCAGTCAGCTACAACGTAGGACCAGGCACATATGTGTATCGGTCCAGGTTGCCATACCGCATCAGCACAACAAGATGAACACTAGATTCATAGCAGTGGTTAGGTCAAAGGTGGTAATATATAAGAGAAAGATTGCCTATAGAGATATAGTACAAGAAGAAAGAATTGGTTCGTAGAAAGAAAGATATGAAGTGATTTTAATCTCTTAGTTTAAGGGAAGACAGGGAGTGTATACACCGATGCCATCGATTCTGAGCCATGTCAACCAGAGTCTCCAACCATTGGTTACGATAGTCACGCGGACTATAACTAAGTAGTCTGCATCTACCAACATGGCTCAGACTACAAGTTAGTGTCTTCAAGCACTGATGCCACGTTTTGGTTTGGCCGCCCCTAACTTTCTTACAACCATCTCCAATACCGGATAGCATTGCACATCGTGGTAGTCGGTGTTCAGGCATACGTAACACGTGGCCCAACCATCTCAGTCAATGAAGATTCATAACCTCATCAACTGATTTACCATCATTCCCTAACACCCTGCGTCTAACCTCACTATTACTTACCCGGTGATCCCAGCAGATGCCAGCAACCAATGCATATTCGTGCCAGGTGATTAAATGTGATGTTAAATGGCTAGAGGCAGTCGACAGAAAACCCTGAACATAGTTCTTTAGTACTGATCGAATTTTATCAATCAAGTTACCATGTGACTCGATTTCACGTGCACAATGTTTTGGTGTTAGTTGGTTAAAGATAGTCGACAGGAAATACTGAACCTAGAATTCGTGCTACTTGAAGCTCGTCAGAAACCTGATAGACAGAATTCGATCAGCACAAAAGGGAAAGACAAATACAACATTGGCCACTACACAGTGATTGATCACATGTTGTTGATATCTGATGAACTGAAGTAATTAGTTTATATTTTGATACATGTCAATCATCTGTCTGTGGTACAACTTTTAAACTTACTGAGGACAAAAAAAGCTCAAATAAACAGAAATAAAATTAATAAACATTCAATGGTGTACACTAGTTAACGGTTTTAAAAGAAAATACAATTTAGAGTAGAAATAAAAAAAGATTTTTTTGGATGAAATTAACAGAGAATACGGGAACAGAACAATGCGATTCATTAGTCAGAGAAAAAATATCATAGATAAAGGCTTTGTGTGGTTGTAATCAGCTTCGAACCAGTTTCATCATCATTCATAATTGATAATATGGAAAGAAAAGTCAAAATTCAATTGATTTACTCATTATGAGTTTTGTTCAACATTACTTCCGTCCTGATTCAATGTGATGATTATTTTTTTTAAATTTATTTATTTTAACACATAGATATTGGTACAAAAAGGCACCAAATACATATGCGCCACACAGATCTCATTTGATATGTGTGAGTGCTGTGATACTGCCCGAGTGCCCAAACCGAAGCAGGTGGTTTTCTTAGGGGGCCACTCCCCGAGCCTTCGACCTGAACGTCTGATCCACAAGGCAGTGGAGATCGTAAGGAGATGCAGTACCATGGTAGCCGGTGACCAACGATTGGTTCATACGCTATTTGTCCCTTTAGGATACTGGAGCCCATGTGAACCATTGATTTGGAATCAGGGTTTTCCAACTCCCCTAGGTGGACTCTCCGTGTCCACCAACCCAGTTAAAGCGCCGGACATTCGCTTTTCGTCCTCTCGATTTCGTAAACAACGCCCCCACCACGAGAAGGCAGTGAGTAGGACTTCCCTGGCAGAGGCTATATACGCGTGGCCATGTGAGAGCATTTCGAGAGGGAAAGCGGACTCTCCCCACTCTCGGCCGTACCAGGGCATTTGGGGGCAATGATTATTCAGTGTAATATTTGTTTTGTTTCCTCGTATGATATCTTATTCTGTATAATATACGATATTCTTGTATTCAATTGATATGAACTATGCTCAGTATATGATTTGTTATAACTCTAAGTATTTTTTATGTGTGATTTCATTCTAAATATTAATCAAAATGGGTGTACGAATCAATATATAAATGAGTGTATTTTCGACTAGGGTCGCTGTCGTCGTGTTTTTGGGGTTAATAAATCTTCACTTATACCAGTCTTTGTGTTCTTACTTTCGCGTCGTGGGAATTGCGGAGGTCCCTCGTTCCGAGTATAAGTGATAAGCGTTTCTGACATAATCAGCGACGACCAGATACAGAAAGCAACACAACCAGCATTCAATTCACAAGTTATAGCAATAATATTCTCACACTGTTCATTGTACATATTATGATGATACTCAGGGCGATAGACCTTACGCAGAGTTAAAGTTAATTTTAACGTCATCCAGATAGTTTATTATGTTGATATAGATTTTATTCTTAATGAAATTAACAGATTTGTGACTACTCTATTTGTTGAATAAAGTATTTAACGAAACAGATGTCCAATGCTTCCTTTTATTCAATGATTGTTTAACTAAAATAAATTGCATTAACTATTAAAATAGTGATAATAAATAAGTAAATAGTAGTAATAAACGCTAATTGACTTACTTAAGACGTCTTTCAAAGCCTGAATTTTTACGACTGGAATATTTTGGATAATGAAGTACATTAGTATAGCGTAAATTGAAACGTGGAAGACCGTTGCGCTAAAAACCACAGAAAAAGAAATTAAATTAACATCTAATTAATAATTATTGAAGACTAATGAAGATAATATTACGCATAGCTATCAAGTGGTTTCGTCGACATTTAATTTCTACGACAAACAACGGTAAACTAAGCGCATTGATGGCATTTAATGGAAGTCACTAGGTATTAAAAATCTAGATGACAATTAGTTGGTACCAATCAATCATATACACAGTAGAGCCTGAAATATGTATGTCCGCCTAAACTGTCACACTTGGCATTAGTACACAGACTTTCATTCAGTTATCATCAAAGTACAGTCTGGCACGGATGTGCGTTGGTCAAAGTAGCCATACCATCGAAACAATCTAGTAGTAACGACAATAAGAAGGAATAAGAGTTGAGAATGTGGTTAGAAAAATAACTCATAACATATTAGGATTAATCAATATGCGAACTTATGTCAAAAATTTCTCGATGACAGAAAAAATGGTCATTCAAATTTAGCAGTAAGCCTGAGACAGTCGAACTGGTAATTTGCTCACCAGACAGGCATCGAAATCGCGACTGAAAAAATTTTGAGAGAAGAAACCAATAGTCAACTGACTATATATATATATATATATATGTTTTTTTTGCATTTTTCCGGTAGCTCAATACACTCTCGCTTACTGTTGTGTTCTCACTCAATTAGTCAGTTGGGGGATGGCGCGTAGTACACAGTGTGTCAGTATCAGATTTTGGACACCGCCTGCTACAATATATACGCTACTAAATCAAATTATTTAGCTTATTGTTTAAACATTGAAAAATTTATTAATATCCAAAGGAAATAGACAGTTCAATATTGTTTCATACTCAATTTACTGAACCGATTAGTGATAATATCTAATGTCGTTCATCTTCATTTCTATAATAGTATTCATACCATGTAACATATTAACCATGAATTTGGCTTCGAGCCACACACAGTGGGGGAGCCAGTGATACTACCAATTGGGTACCAAAATTAAAATAAGTAAAGTGGGATTAGAAATTGGAAACAACTTATTGAAGTTCTAGTGCTTTAACTATCATATCATTGCGACCCATACCATACTATATCATTATAGTATTTACTACTAAAGCATAAAAGCCAAAAGAATTATAAAATCAAAAATGATCTTACTTTTTCGTCAGCATTTGTGCTTTCCGAAGTATTTGACTCAGATGAATTGTTAATATTAAGACTAGGCGATTTTTTGTCAATATTCAAATCATCATTGATAGTACTGATGCAACTAGTAGTAATGGTACTACTACTACTACTACTACTACTACTACTACTACCGCTGCTATTACTATTACTGTTAGTAATCAGCATACCATTTTCGAAGTTATTCGATAGATTATCGTTGGTATTATTACTAAGCAGTTGAGTTGGAGATACAGTAGAGGTTTGTGTTAATTGAGATACATTTATGCAAGCCAATGATGTTGATGATGGAATTAAGCAAGTTTGAGGAATATTTGAACTAGATGTTGGGAATTGATCAGCAACTGAATTAGTTAAGGAGTTATTATTATCACTAATATTTTCAACGATGGCAGAAATTTTAGAAGAGGAGAAATTGAAAACAGGTGGATATAAGAAAGAGGATTTACTGTCTTGATTAGATAAACTATCACTGGATGCATGATGTAATATAGTTGAATTTAATTGCTCGGATTGATGATAAGCACAATCTTCTGTTGTATTTGTAATTATAGCAGCGGCACTCATAGTCGCAGTTGTTATTGTCGTACTGGGGGCATTGAATGTTGTCGTTTGATTAAATGATTTACTATTGACATTATCCAGTATAATCCTAGATGACTCTAAATATGTATGATTAGAGGATAAATAAGGTTTAACGCTTGGAATAGGTTTTAAACTATGAGATGAGAAAGAACAGTATGAAGGACATAGATGGTTAGAAAATGGTACGGATGGATAAACAGACGATGATAAATTATACGGACTATGAAAAGATGATAAACTGGACGATAAGGTTGATGACGATGAAACTGGTATCACTGAAGACGAAGTCGATTGTAGTAAAAAAGGTAACGGTTGAAACATCGATGGCATTGATGCAATATAATTATTATTTGAAGTCAAATTTAAATCTGTTGGTTTACAATAAGTTAAAATCGGGTCTGAATGAGGAATAATGGACGAGGTTATTTGTCGACAAAATGATCCCATAATAGTTTGTCGATTTTCAGGTACATAAATTGAATTTCTTATTGAACATGGTTCTTTGGTAGAATTTAGTGAAGCGATGTCTACTTGGAATAAAACGTAAATCATACATAACATGAATGGGAAATATGAGTCATAGAATAATTGTAACAATAGGTCACTACCAATATTTATATAATCGATAACATAATAAACTATAAAAACACAGTGAGTAAAGTAGTCAACTCCCAATTAACAGGTTTTAAACTTGAACCCTGTAGCATCTACATCAGTTTGGGCAGCCAAGTAGTATCATTAACCTTGAAATACAAAAAGTGACTCGAAGCCGATTACACAGTCCTGTACTCGATAGGAATGAATGAAACTCATTCTTATTCCCTGGAATTAAACAGTAACAGACAACTTACGACCTGGAAGGAATATCTGCCAATCCAAATTATCGTATTTCATATTAGGACAGTCAGAAAGGAAGCTAACAAGAAGCAGACGAGAAAACAATATCAACTGTAATGGAAATTTAACTATGAAGAGTCAGTCATCTATATGCAGTGTAGAATCTGGTACAAATGTGCATCAGCTCAGTTTCACCACATATCACCATAGTGATATACCAGAGTACAATAAACAGTAATAGCACTAGCGTAATAGATAAAAATAAATGAGATCAGAGAATGGAAAGCGTGGGATGACACTAAATTCAAAAGTTATAGAAAGATATGGATAGATGTATCTGATCCAAGTCATACAACGTCTGGCAATCACCGCCTCGACCGCAGTCAAGTAGTTTGAATCTACCGACATGACCCGGTCTAGATTTCAATGATTGCAGAGACCGATGCCATGCTTTGGTTTGGTAGTCCCTTCAATCCAACATCGCGTCTCAAGGCGTGGTAGTTTGGTATACATAACATATGTTCTAGAAACTCTAGTCAGTGAGGATTCACAACTTCATCAATCAGCTTCCCATCTTTGCTTAGTGTCCCGAGTCAAACCTCAAAATAGCTGAATCTGGTGTTCTACAATAATTGAGAAATGCTACGAAGGCACCTATGGTGAAATATTCATGTCCTACTCATATCTTTTATTTTCATATGCAATATTTCCCAGACATATAAAGATACAGAATGAACCTCTGCGATAGACACCCTGCCTACGCCACAAGTGATAAACGTTACCAAAAACCAAACGAGCTTTCTGAATCCGTAGCAAAATTTAGTTAGCTACCAACCCACCAGGGCTTATGCAACTTCTAGGATAATTGAAGTGGTCGATAAACGGGACAAATTTATCTCCTCTTGTCGTGAAGCAAAATTTTGGAGGGAGAGAAGAATATACTGAATATGCTTGTATTGTTACGCATGACAATCCTTAAATAGGACTGCCAATTTGAGGTCGATGAGTAGGTTTATAGGGAGAAGACTAATCTCTTGAAAGTTTGATAAGGAACGTAATAGTTCTAGGAAAATATATATAACGAAATTAGACAAAAAAAGATGACCAGTTATGAAAAACACCACTACAAGTTGACAATTCCCATGACCGCTTGCCATAAGCTCTGACCCGAACGATAGTTTGCGGCTAGTGTTTGCACTGCGTACGTCTTTGGTAGATACCCTAACGAGAGATACAAAGCGCAACTGATGGGATCGAATATCTCCTTAAGGTCAACAAATGCAATTATGGTTGGGCCTTGGTAACATGCCCACGTTTCAAAGCCTGATGAAGAGTGAATATTTGATCTACACATGCAAGTCCAGGTTTAAAACTGTGCTAGCTTTCCCGAATTCATTGTTTATGAGTTCCAGTTAAATGTCAGATAATCATTAAGGTTAACTTTCGAGACATTATTTAAAATGATACTTTTGTAGTAGGTGGGTGCAACCTCAAAGAAGTCATGTTTACATTAACAGAAGAATGTAGAATATAGAATAAAGGTTAACTAATTAAGAGAGAAAATAATATTCTGTATAGAAAAATGTGGACCACTTTGTCCTAAGAAAAAGCACAAAATGGCGAAGACGATTAATGACAAGGTATAAGCAATTTGCCTCACACAGTATTATGCATATATTTATTCTTAATAGAGATAAAAACAGAAAAATATATACGGATATCCAGTTCCCATACCCATACAAATGATAATTCTAAGACGTATTAATTATCGACACGATAGTGATTACAACTATATATATTGTGAAAAGGTATAGAGGGAAATACTGAACCGATCTCAATATATCTGTGTATGCGCCATTTAATTGGGAGTTTATAGCAATACCGAATGTCCTTAAGTGTACGGAGTGTAGATAAAGACATTTAGAATATTATAATAATAATTGGTTACATACTAAGATCTATAAGTATCAATAAAAATATGAAACTACTATGTAATACACATTCCATGCATAACAGTTACATGTAGCCAAATTGAAATATCCGCCTACAAACTTTCCTATTTTATCCACTTATAACTAAAGGAAACAGAAATTTTTATAGGTAACTATTTGTAAAACTCATTCTAGTTAGGAAAAAACGAAAATCCCTCTTCCTAATAAAATTGAGTCCTTAAACAGAAAATGTCTGGAATTGAGATAAATAATAGTTCATTCCGAAATTATTCTGATAACATTTGAATGAGAAGCTTATATTCAAGCATAAAGGACGAATAGTCAAAAACAGTTACAGCGCAATGTACTAAAATACTAAGTTTATGAGAAATATAGCAAGCTTGTAACCGTCATTGAATATATCAATTAAAAGATAATGAAACCAACTCAATAACGCCTCTGAAGTGGATTCATCTATCTTACATAATATGATGATGTTGCATCGTGTTTTATTTGTTTCTTCGTAATTAACACGACCGCTCACACTTGAAATCGAATTGGAGGTATACATGTTCGAAGTTATAGATTGCTGAGACAATTTGATGCGATTCAATGACATTATTGCTTAGATTACAAGTTCAAAACTGCAGGCTTAAACTTAATTTTAATTATTGCAGTTCAGAAGACCGTATATTATGGCTATTATTAGGTTTTACATAAACTATGTAGTTCACGCCCTAGTTCATAGAAGAGGTAGAAGCTACAAATTAATCTATTTAAGTGTGAATCCGTCAACCTAAGGTTTGAATATTATTTCTCGCTTATGTCCGCTTTTACAATACAGTATTATTGCTAACTTTCTAAAACTAGGTATTTCATCAGAATTTAATAAACGTGCAGTCAGCCAATCATAAACAGAACAGAACCTTGGACAAATGTGTGACGATTTAAGTTGGAACATTAAATGAACTCAGAGAGGGTAAATAAACAATAAGGCAGAAGGCAAAATAGTAATAGCAATGATAATAAGAATAAACATAGAGTATATGGCATGACAAGAAAGGATTAAGTTACGTACGGAGTGATATTGGATCTATGGATGGGATAAAGTCAATCCATTTGTACTATTGTGTAATTTCGCTCAATACGTCTAAATGCTATTTAGGGTTATCCTCCGGACCCTAGCTAGACAGTTTGGGCCTACCAACACGGTTCAGATCAAAAGTCGATGGCTCTGTAGAGTGACATACCTAGCTTGCTTCCAACAGACCCTTACATAAATCAACATTACTCCGTGATGTTGGTAATGACTTGATATACCTGATGAATACCCTAACCATCTCTTATTAAACAATTAACCATATCTACCTAGTATTCTATTTTTAGCTTCAACACGGCTGATTGATCCACCAAAAATCCTAACATTGCTTGACGACATCTATGACTAACCTACAGTAAAGTGTGAATATTTCTATTCTTCAAAATCTATTCAACAGTCAAAAGGATTGGGTCGATGAGCGATATACTCGCCCTATAATAGACAGATATCTCGTCTACGTAAATGTATTTCAATTTTGTTTTCTTTACACTATAAAAGCTGGCGGGTATAGGAACTGAGATGTGTCATTTAAAAGAGAATAAAATCATCAAGTATAAAAGGAAATTAGAAGAAAATAAAAATTTGAACGAAAATATTAGTTAAGAAAGTCCCTACTTCATTGCTGTGCTTCACTTAATATTAACATGAGAAGAAAAGCTAACGGTAAGATACTTAGTGTACCTGATGTATGGTCTTTCCATCGACACCCTGGTAGTTGTAGCACAGGATTAGAAGACTGCTATAATTGGCTACACACAATCAAGCAAGTTCTGCACAACATTAGAAAGCTCATGTTTCGACAACTAAATACTTGGGGCATAAAGAATTGGATAAACTGTATGTATAAAGTGTTGAAATGAAGTTGTTTTGGTGTACATCGAAAGGTTGATCAGTAGGACTCTTAAAAACATCTTTAGATTTAAATGAGTAACCAGAACAATGCATCCATTCATATAATAAGGTCGATGTAGTAGGGTAATCAAGGGAACTTTTCGATTAGGCATATTCCTAACATGGGAAAGTCATATTGTGATTGAAATACGCAACTTATGTCCTGTGTTTAGAGTTAAATGCTTAGTTTAGCTAGTACTTATGTGTTTAAGTGTTCAGAAAAGATAGCTAGTAATTTTAAACAATATGTAAAAGACACAAATACTTAAGATAATAGTATGGTATTAATATTAAAGTTAAGTAGGTACTCAGTTAAGAAGATATGACAATAAGCATTACGATATGATTGGAAACGAAATCAAAGTTCAATATGGAGGATAAAGTGCATTATATGTTAGATACTAAATTATTGACATAAAGGCTTTTTAAGATGGTCGATATTACTCATCTTTATTATCGGTTAGTCTGAAAACAATTTTCCGGGTACATTCAAATAATACATACTCAATGCTAAGCGATAAATGGTAATTTCATGTCGCTAGAGTTAGGAAACAAACATATAATAAGATGCAAATATTATTAGGATATTCGATGTAAAATAAAAGTCGATTTTTGCGAAACTGATTATGAAACTACGAGCGTTGTCCCACGCCATATAAAAAACACATAAATTAACAAACAACCGTCAAAGTTTTTTCAATTATAACTTACGAGATTTATCATGTTTTTGAATGATACAAGGTAAATGACAATAATCACAATCTACTATACGATTTGCTTTCATTTGAACTCCATTGATTAGCTTGTTTTGCATCGATGAGGGAGAACAACAGTGATTCAGTTTAATTGATTGATCCATATGTATAAATATACAAAAGGGACAGTGACCAGACGATCGGGAAACAAACAATTCTGAGATAAATAGCCTTTATAAAAAATTGAAACAATTAGGCCTACACTTCTCGAATAGGTGTACTATTAAGTTTAGCTATACAAAGTTCACAATGATAATGAAATAGTAAGGGTCTTCCCAGAAATCAATCAACGAGTACTGTTGTAACTTAAACCATAATCAAGGTTTCCTTCTTCCTCCAATTTCTGGAAGACCATAAAGTGCTAATTCAGCTTCAGATTTCTAGCCTTATTATCTTAGTTCGGTGATTAACGATGGTCTAAAGTGAGAGAGAATCAGATGGAGGTAGTAAAATTGAGTAAGCAGATTGGATGCTATGAACGCTCAGACACTGCTAGTTTTGATGTGTAATAATAAATGAAGCGGGATGGTAGCTTAAATGTGGTCATAGCAAGGCAAAAAACGAGTCTATTGGATTTATAATAGGTAGTCAACGCATGGACTGTAGGCATGAGGACATTGAAAAGCTGTTTGAGCTAGACCACAAAGACACAAAATATTTATTTTCAAGACTGCTGTAACGGACATATCTTCAATCTATTTCTTTTTATCTTAACATCCAGAAATGTTTCTTTTGTAGTTCTTTACTACAACTAATACAATTGCTACTATGTCTACTATTTGTATTATTTATTCATTGTTTTATGCATTGTAGGAACTTACAATGACAATAACATTATAAGTTTTACGTTTACCTTGGTATTAGCTGCATATACTATCTAAAAAATATCGCTTTATGGAAACTAACAAGTGTGATTTCCAGGTGGTAAGAGAGCTATTTGGTTTGATCGGCCAATGAGGACAAAACAATCAGATCGATCTTAGGCTGTAGATAATGAGTGTCTTCTTAAGTTGTAGTCATAAAAGCTCCCAAATTCCCTGGCACAATCGAGGGTGGGAGAGTCAGCTCTCTCTTGGCCACGTATATGCAGCCACCGTTTTCTCACGGCTGGAGTTTTGTTTACGAAATTGAGAGGGTGGAAAGCGAATGTTCGGCGCCCCAATCGGGTTGGTAGATACGGAGGATGTACCTAGGGGATTTGGAAAACCCTGATTCCAAACCGATGGTGCACATGTGCTCCAGGACTCCGAAGGAACAAATGACGTATGAACCTATTATTAGTCACCGGCTACCATCAGGCTGCATCTCTTAACCTTACTCCACTGACTTATGGACTAGACCTGTAGGTCAAAAGCTCGGGAAGTGACCACTTAGGAAAGCGTTTCTTCGGTTTGAGAGCTCGGATAATATTCCAGTCCTCACATAAATCACTTGATCTGTACTTAAATAAATAGACGAAGTTATAACAAAATGCGTGAGTCTTTTTGTGCGGTTTACCTCTGAGCCTCACAGTGTTACAAAATTCGAAAGTGATATTGTCATAGCCCATTAGCCTATGAAAATTTCATAGACTTATCGACTATCCACCTTTTTAGCTAGGGCTAGCATTTAAAAATAGCGAACTGTGGAATTCTCTTAGACAATATTCGTGGAGCATGCCTAAGCCATCTAGGCCAGTGTTTTTGAATGGCCATGAAAACTGAACGAAGATAATCGTACCCGGGCACATATCACTGCAACTTCTCGTTAATTAGATCCACTACTCAGTATGAGCGGTCACTAGGAGATTTATTACGACTGAATATAAGTCACCGAACATTACTTCGAAGGGTAAGTATTGCAAGTACAGGACATGGCTGTTCACGTCACTGAAGAGACAAATTAGGTACAAATATTCGTATTATGCTTACTTTAACAGTCAAACTGATTTTTGGCTGCTTGATGTCCTTATAATTTTATACAAAAACCGAGGAAATAAGTGATCTATTTACCTACATATATGACTACTCCGTCTCAAAGCTATCAACTCAAAAAAATGACAGTATTGAAAGTTTATCTTTGAAATTTTAAAAGCTAATCTACCAGTGCATGCAAGTGAAGTTACTGTGTTTTTAGAGAAACGGAATTGTCGATCCTGGGATCGAAAATTAAGCAACCGATTCCAGGTGATTAAAGACAAAGATCAGATTAATTCGGGAAAAACCCAATCTTCCTTAGTGAAGTACGCTGTTTTAAGGAAATTTTTCGGTTACGGCGAAATTTGAGGACAGATTGACTTATAATCGGGGTTTTGTTGAACAAACTATGCTTATACAACAATCAGCCAGAAAGTATTGGTATCAGTACTGGATTCAGTAGTTTTCAGCATAAGTCTTAGATGCTGAATGACTAGTGACCATGTAATTAATTCCTGTAACGACCAAGACTATTTCGGATGCAGGACTACTTACCCTGGAAGCAACACATCTGTCGGAAGTGGCGCTTCCTTGGTTCAAATTTTAAACTGAGTTGAATTACTAGGCTGTTTGCTTTATATGATTTACGTCTTAATAGTATATTAAAGTTCTCAGGTTAGTGACAATATATTCAGCTATTTTATTTAATTTTTTTGATCCACAAAGATTCCTAAACACAACCAAAAATGTAATTTTTTATCATGTACTAATCCGATACATGTGACCTTTTTCTGCACTTATCACGCCCAATAATAACATTGCTTATTATTCTATATTGATTCATGTTTTTTTCACTTGTTATGTTACTCTTAACTTCTGTTCCTAAATTTGACTAAATATATGTAGCGGCAAATAGATACTGAGAATCAACAGTTCTGTAAGTCTTCGACAATGGATGCTGACCACACTAGTTTTAAGGGATTCACCTGGCTGAAGGCGCTCAGTCATGCATCCGCACCAGATCACGAGTATGAACGCTGTTCTCAAATCTTCCTACAACCGGTAACCAGTTTAGAGTAGTCAATTCTCGATATATTGATAGTCTATCAAATATATCTTTGAACCTCTTCACTTGTGATTTCACTGTGTTAGCACGTTTGGATTATAGGTGTTACTGGTTAAGGTGGCATCTGAAGATGTCACAAGTACTTTCAGTTTGACAGCGTTTTTACATCTAGCACCTTCATAATCGCTGGCCACTGTTTCAGCAGTGATGTCCTTGATACGCACTGCTTCTGGCCATCGAGTGAAGCCGTCTACGCAGGTTAAAAGATAAGAGTATCCATTTGAATCTGTTAACGGTCCTATCAAATCCAGATGAACACGATCGAATCGAGCACTAGGAGTTTTGAATGGACCTAAGGACATTTGTTGTTTCTAATAACCTTAGATTTCTGGCAGCTTACACAGGACCGTACCCACTCCTTTACGTCTTTATTCATACCAGGCCAGAGGAACTGTTCTGCTATAAGCTTGATGGTTGCACAAACAACTGGGTGAGGAAGTTTGTGCCACGTATTGAAGACGATGCGTCGATAATGTTTCAGCACGATCGGCAGATCCCTACTGGTAGATGTGTCACGTAGTAAGGTTTCCTTACCTGTTCCCATCTTTTTTAATGCACAGTTTAAGGTTAGTTACGGATAACTCGTGCCGAAGATCATTGTCTTTCTCTGAAGCTGGGAGAGCTTAAGAAGGTCGATTCCTTGGAAACTGTTCAACGAAGTTATATGAGACAAGGCGCCTGCGACTACATTGTTTGGTCCAGAAATGTGTTGGATGTCCGAAGTAAACTGCGAGACGTTTATGATCTGTGAAAAGAGTGAATTCTCGACGTCTAATAGAGTGTCGAAAGTGCCATACAGCACAGGATATGGCTGGAAGTCCTCTGTCATACATTTAATCGTCTCAAAGGGAATGCCATAGGTTGTCATGTGATATTTGCCCATTGCTGTAGCATATTCATACCAATGATTGACACAGAAACTCCTACAACAACAAAATTCCTGCGAATGGGTTTTTGTAAGCATACGTTTAGATAAGCATACCTTTTACTGTGTGTGACACTCGGTTTCCCAGCTTATCACGTGTAGATTTGCAGCGTATTGATCTATGTCGATTATTGCAGGCCTAAACGAGTTGGACGGGTGTGAAGCAACCCTTTAGCTGTTATTGAAGTCACACCTCACGGTTCATATTTTACATGTATTACCCTTTTATTGCACCCAGGTACGACTGCTATTTAGATAGCCGCACAGTACAAACAACGTTATTACTGAAATAAATTAGTAGAGTGGCTATAAAGAACCGAGTGCGAACACAATCTTGTAAAGAGTTCATGGAGTGAAATCGGTTAATGAGCGTTGGTTAGCCCTGACGAGTAAATCTTGATCTTGCCTGTAAATTGGCATATCTCACGTAACTTATTTTCATTGAGGATAAATTATTATTGTTAATATCGGTAAACAGGTTGTTATTCATTGACCTGACGGCCGTATGATTTGGCTAGGAACCAGTGACATTTCACTGACCTTATAATTCAAAGGAGGCTGAAATCTCGGTACCACAAGTCATTTTTTGATCATGTTGCAGAAGTTTTGATTTTTGAACCATAAATTCACCGAGGGTGAATAGGGAAGTCCAGAAGACAGTCTCAGAAAGAAAGGAACTTGAGTAATAAATTCTATTTATCATTTTATTTTCAAGCCTCTCTAACTCACCGTCTTTTACAACGGGAATATAGCTTGCTTAGCTCTGTAACTGAATTTATAGAAGCCGCTATCCTTGGAATGACCGACAAACCATACTGTGTCAACGCGCCCTCAGTTGCCGCTCCACAGAATTCACAGTGGAACGAGAGCTTATACTGAATATACTGCAGCACGACGGGTTTGTACCAGGACTCTGACTGCCAGAATAACTCACCCCTCCTCCATCTTTTCAATGAATTTAGATATTCGACCCTAATGACCCGTTAGATCTGCTCACCTCCAGTCACAATCAACCGACATCGTCTTCCAATCCGTTTTAACGTATAGTGCATACCTTTAGGTGTGGTCTATGTAGGACCCAATAATTATTTAGATTGAGAATTAAAGCATTGGACCATCGATAAAAACAGAAAAGAGGATATCAGCATTGATAGGCTGAAAGTCTTGTATACACAGGTTACTTCCTAATTTGTCAGCCTTCTTACTATGCCACCCATCACCGAGATAGAAATCCCAATGCCACACCTAACAACCGCCAACCAAATGAAGACTTATTAGTAATGTCTTATTGTGCCGTAATTAGAGTAAAAATCCTACTGGTTGATTGTGGTCGACCAGCCATAAATTTGAGGAGAATATAGTATTGAGTAACCTGGATTTTTGTGTCTCTACTAGATGTATGACAGGTGGAATGTGTCAATACACATTCCAGACATTCATTTTTATTTCATGACTTCCGGATACATTGCAGGATATTACAAGATCTTGATCTTCTGTGTTACGTTTTCGGCTTGTGGTGGATCCCAACAAAAGAGCTTATTGAAGATATAACAATACGCAAAGTTACCAGTGTTATGCTTAAAAGAATTAACACTGCAAACCTCATTGTGTCTTTATGAGTAAAGCAAAAGGCAACAAATTACAGTTACAATATAAATGGTATATTAAATAACAAAATGATAACAGTAGTTGTGAAACGAATGTTACTTATAAGCTGCTCTCTGAGATAACAACCACAAATGAGTTCACTTGATTAACGAAGGTTTCTCTGCACGTGGTGGCGTTAGTGGAGTAATGAGAAAGATTAAATCCGATAGTATTATTTAATAATGATCCGGGCCAAAACTCCAACGTAGTGTGGGATGACCTAAAAGGATGTTCTGACACTATTATAATCAACCCAAGGCCGTGTCCAATTAAGCAGAAGAACAGACGGTGGAGTAAGCGTTTATTTTTCAACGATCATGGTAGTGTGTGTGTATATAACCAAACAATTATACCCATTTCTTCACCACTGATACAGTGTATCGGTAAATAAATAGCCCTGTAAGTCTTCGACATTGGATGCTGACCACATTAGTTCTAATCGGCTCACCTAGCTGAAGGTCATGCCTCCGCACCAGATCACGAGTGGGGATGCCGTGCTCAGCATCCCCTGCAATTACTAGCCAGTCTAGATCAGTCGATCCTCGATATATCGATAGCCTATCAAATATATCTTGGAACCTCCTTGCTTCTGTCTTTCGATTTCACTTGGTGGGTAATATTCATAGTAGGTGTTACTGATTAAAGCGTTGTCGAACTCTAAATATCTGTGACATCTTCAAGAGAAACGATAGATATTGAATAGAAATGTGGTTACATATAGTGTGACAAATAGGAAAAAATGTGGTTTGTCTTTACAAAATTCATTGAATATACATGCCACAATAGGCTTAGCTCAAAACACGGATGCAGTGATATAAAAACCGTCTAGTGAATTTGCTCAGATAGCATGTTTAACTATCGTTCAATAATTCGACAGGATCATATGAAGTATAAACAGCCTATACCATCAAAATCATGGAAACGATCAGGAAACAAAGTGATGCTTTGATTACCCTAATTCATATTAGGAAATGTACTGGATTATCTTCTCCATATAAGACAAAAATCATTCGTAAAAATCTATGAAATGCGAAAAATTCAGTGACAACGAATTCAGCGATCGAAGCCACACATACTTGTGGACAGAATCTCTAAACTTTTCAAGTCTAAAATATTTTGTTTTGATAAATTGTCAGTTAGTTAAGTATTAAGCACGAGAGTATTTGTTTTCAAACAATTCTTAAGATCACAATTGTATTATTACTATTATTATTAACATTCATAGACCAAAAAGCACGAAACAATTTTTGCCAGTCAAGAATTTTAGGTGTGACTGAACCGAGGTAACAAACAATCAATGAAATTTACACTCCATTTGTGATATACATATGTAAGTAGTTCAATTAATAGAAAATTTAATTAATCCTAACAACATAATCAATCCAGAAAATGAGAAACTTATTATTGCACATTATTTTCCACATAGCAGTATAGACCAGTCTTGAAATAATTAGATAAGATCAGTTGTATAAAGAAATATTGTTTCCAGTTTACTTAATTCCACTAATACATAGAATTCTACAAAAAATTATCATTCATTAATTGCAAACCAGTTCATGAATCTGTAGTCGAATTGGGATTACCAATTGTAGCGTGGCGTCGAGTTGAGATTAACTATGAACACCGCTACCAAGATATACGTGCCAAATAGATCAGAAGGCGTAAGAAGCTCGTTCCAAATGACTCCATAAAATCCCCGAGAAGCCGAATACCAGAAGGCAATTAATGGACCAAGTCGAGGTTTATTAGCTGGCGATCTCGTGGCATCGAAAGGATACCGAGATCGTGCCAGGATACAACCTTGGTTACAGAAGGTAACCGAATTCGCGCGAAGTTACAATCAAAGTGTAAGTAAGAGAATGGAAGAACAAAATAGCTGTCATTAGCACAGTCAAAGAAAAGCACGTTAAAACAAACACTGGTACAGTTGGTTATAATAATAATTGTTTTTATTAAACCAGTCGTGTTCTCGTGATAAACGTGAGTCACTACAGGAGCCCCCCGCTAGAAAGGGTTTACACTTTCGATAAAAAGCGGTTTGAATCGTGGGACTGATCGGCTGACGAGCGATTGTAGGACGGAAAGATTGGCGAACAGGAAAGCGATCGTTGATCGTCGAGTTGCCAACGAAGGTCGTTTTCGGAGAACGGTACCAGGAGCGATGTGTTGTATTGATTGCTCGAGTTGGCATGCTACCAGAGTGGTTTGTATCCAGAATCTGAAGAGGGCGTTCGTACGGGTCCGGACCATAAACGCTGCAGACGAAGGACGAAACCACGTTGAGCCAAAAGACCAGAAGCGACCATAACGACCAAGTTCGAGACCAAGCGTATGCCAAGCATTCGAAACCAATATATCGACTGAGTACGTTGACAAGAGCGTGGGTGATCAGGCCAGCTTTCGCCAAAGTTGACTGAAGTCGACGGAACCAAACGGAGATGGTCGAAGGCGTGGGCTCAGGAAACAAAAAGAAAATCAAAAAAGAAGAGTGTAGCGTGCGTGTAGTATAGGAATAATCCTACACCGTATCGGTTGTTGACTGTGCGACTATTCGCGGATGCGTACGGGTAACCGTACTCGGCGACCGGAACGTGAGACGGCAGTCTCGTTCGCGTCGCGTGAGCCTGCAATCTCATCCGAGGTCAGAGGCGGCGTGGTCTGCTGATCTGGACGTGAGACTATCGTCTCGTCCGTAGACGGTGCAGATGACGCGTGCTGTTGACCGGGACGTGAGAATGAGGTCTCAGATGCATCTAGCGTGGGACCTGAAGAAGATTTAAGGATCCCGCTAGGTTTAATAGGTCTAGCATTGAATCTCAGGTTACCAGATAGGGCACTGTCATCGACGTGTGCTGGTTTGAGACGATCAACGCTGACGATCTCGACGCGTCCATATCGATCAACCTTGAAGGTCTTTTCGTGACGAGCGATCACGTGAAAAGGGCCTTCGTAAGGTTGTTGCCAAGGTTTGCGTACCGAATCTACTCGTACAAAAACATGTGAACAGGTAGATAACTCTCGAGGGAGAGCGACCTGTCGATGTTGTATTCGAGTTGACACCGGAGACAGCGTTCGCATAAATGCAGACAGTCGTTGGACGTAGTCTGATTTAGCGAAATCATGTCTGCTCCGTGGTGTGAAGAATTCCCCGGGCAGACGCAATGTCGTGCCGTATACCATTTCAGCGGCGGAACATTGTATATCTGCCTTCAAGCTCGTTCGAATACCTAAGAGGACGAGCGATAAGGTTTCGTACCAGTTGTCGTTCTCGTGTGCTCGTAGAGCACTTTTAAGTTGGCAATGAAACCGTTCAACTTAACCATTTGGTGCTGGGTGGTAGACGGATATGCTTATGCGTATGCATTCCGTACCAAGCAGCCGGGTCAGCGAGGAGAATCGTTAACAGGGTAACATTTCTCGAATAAAGCGTGGAATTCATCATCACGCGAATAAAAAGTGACAAGGATTCGGTACACATACGTGTGAGTCTATTATATTAATACTATTCTTATCGTTATCCGTCATGTCGCGTATATTATATATAAAAAATTAATATGAAAATATACGACAGACGTGGATAGATAAATCATAGACTCACCGAATTGGCTTCTTTGGAAGATTTGATCAGAAGTTGAGGCGTGTTCCAAAATACGGGTCACCAATTGTTGTCGAATTGGGATTACCAATTGTATTCGTATTGGGATTACCAATTGTAGCGTGGCGTCGAGTTGAGATTAACTATGAACACCGCTACCAAGATATACGTGCCAAATAGATCAGAAGGCGTAAGAAGCTCGTTCCAAATGACTCCATAAAATCCCCGAGAAGCCGAATACCAGAAGGCAATTAATGGACCAAGTCGAGGTTTATTAGCTGGCGATCTCGTGGCATCGAAAGGATACCGAGATCGTGCCAGGATACAACCTTGGTTACAGAAGGTAACCGAATTCGCGCGAAGTTACAATCAAAGTGTAAGTAAGAGAATGGAAGAACAAAATAGCTGTCATTAGCACAGTCAAAGAAAAGCACGTTAAAACAAACACTGGTACAGTTGGTTATAATAATAATTGTTTTTATTAAACCAGTCGTGTTCTCGTGATAAACGTGAGTCACTACAAATCTATGATAATTAGAAGTATTCGAATTAATGTACTAACTAATTGGTGACACAACACAGCAGAACGGATTGAAGACACAACTTCTACTCTTCAAGAGTGGTCAGATGCTGGAATTCGCTGTCGAATGAGCTAGTTCAAGCGACCTCCCAGGAGTCATTTAAGAGGAAACTTGACATATCCTTAAGGACTAAGGATAGTATCTTACTCCACAACCGTTTGAACCATTTGAACTAGGAATTCCCAAAATATTTCAATTTAAGACAGGTATAACTAGATGAACACAGACGAACGTATTGTATTTGGAATTCGTAACAAGCGGGTAATCAAGTACAAAGGAATCATCAGTTCGTTAAAATACTACATTGGCCACAGCTTAAATGAGAATCCAAATTTCTGTTATCAACTGTACTTCTTCTCCTTAAGTGTGCCTGTCCGACTGTGTATTAGATGTG